TGTTGTTTGTACTGTAGTTGTGATTGGCATCGTGGTTGCAGTTGAAGTGGTTGTTTGTACTGCATTTATGATTGGTACTGTGGTTGAAGGCAAAGTGGTGGTTTGTACTGTAGTTGTGTTTGGCATCGTGGCTGCAGTTGAACTGGTTGTTGTTTGTACTGTAGTTGTGATTGGCATCGTGGTTGCAGTTGAAGTGGTTGTTTGTACTGGTGTTGTTATTGGTACTGTGGTTGAAGGTAAAGTGGTTGTTGTTTGTACAGGAGTTGATATTGTGATTGGTACTGTGGTTGAAGGTAAAGTGGTGGTTTGTACTGTAGTTGTGATTGGTACTGTGGTTGTAGTTGAACTGGTTGTTGTTTGTACTGTAGTTGTGATTGGCATTGTGGTTGAAGTGGTTGTGGTTTGTACTGGAGTTGATGTTGTTATTGGCACTGTGGTCGAAGGTAAAGTGGTTGTTTGTACTGCAGTTGTGATTGGCATCGTGATTGAAGTGGTTGTGGTTTGTATTGTAGTTGATGTTGTTATTGGCACTGTGGTTGAAGGTAAAGTGGTTATTTGTACTGTTGTTGTGATTGGTACTGTGGTTGAAGGTAATGTGGTTCTTGTTTGTGCTGCAGTTGGTGTTGTGATTGGCACTGTGGTTGTCGGCACAGTGGTTATTTGTATTGGGGATGATGTTTCGATTGTCGTTGGTGCTAAAGTGGTGCTTTTTTTTTGTGCCACATTTGTTGCTAAATTTATTGCTGCATTTGTTGTTGACATGGTATTTGTTGAGGGTATCACACTTGTGATCGAGGGTGTTGTTGAATTTTTTGCTGAGTGTTGTGTTGAAGTGGTGTCTCTTGATGTTGCCTCAGTTGTCCTTGAAGGTGGTGTTGTATTTTTCATCATTGAGGGTCGCCTTGTTGAAAATTGATCTGTTAGATGCCAGAAATACAATATCAATATAATTTTTTCCATACATTCACATCCAGTTGACTCTGCTAACTGCACAGACTCAAGGCTGTTGTAACCACCAAAATTTACTCAATTGTAAAGTATAACCATAGCAAATGTACACAAATTACAGTTGTGTACTGTATGACACAGTGTCAGAAGTCATTATTTAATGGGAAATGTGAAATAAAGCAGTGTGCCATTATCCTATGTGCAGTTACGTGGGACATACATACTGCACAGCAAAAACTAGAAAGACGCTGTTGGAATGACAGTAATATCTTCCCTGGACAGCCCTGTCACTCCTTCCCCACCTTTGATCCTTTCTCTTACTACACCCTCCATCCTCTACTATTTCTAGAATTACTCAATAGATCACATGGAGATATGAATGTCAAAATATGAGTATTTATCCAAATGCTCTGAGCCCCAGTCATGACATGTATCTGTAAAACTACACCTGTTCACTTATTGCTCATTACACTTACATGCCACTTTGCATAATCTTTCCCCACCAATTATTTATTTTTATATTTCTTAATGTCCATGTCTTAAAACGTCACATATTACTTATATTCTTTGTATGTCTATATATTTATATTCTATTTATTTAAAGTGGCCACCATATTGCATTTTATTGAAAGGTTTAAAATTTTACACAGGCTTTGTTTTGTCCAGTCTTTACCTATTTAAGCACAGATGATCTGTTCAGTGAGCCTGAAAAAAGGTACCAGAGGGATTTTTGAAACCATCCATCCATCATTGCTAAACAAATGTGATGGCAAAGCTGCCAATTAAGATGCATGACCTTATCTCAGCAATGGTTTAATGTTTTGACACCAAACTTGGCATTTGGACTCACAGTCACATCCTGAGGATGTACACCAAAATTCATGTCATTTGACCACTGGGGGCGCTGCAATAAGCAAAAACGTGTTTTTCCTAATACATTTTGAGATATTGGCTTATAAAAGTGGTTGTTATGTATGGGCATTATCAGGATCTGTCCCTGGTCATCCCACATGCTCCTAATGATTCCCAGCCTAGCATCTCATGTGTAGCTTATTACCTGTGTGTATATGTGCCAGTCCATGCCCCGTGCATTCATTGACACTCATGCCTCTTCTGCTTCTTTAGCTTCTCTCTCAGATGTTACTAATCTATCCTGTCCTTCTGAGATTCTCTCTACCTATACCCTGGCTATTTCTAATGGTCTTAATCTCCATGCTACCATTAAGCACAGGTCGGTCCCCTTCTCATTCCTCTTCTTGGTTTGTCAGGCATCATTCCACAAACTGCAGTTGCCCCAGTTTTCAAGATACCTGGTCTGGAACAAACTGATCTAAACAGCTATTGGGCAATCTCTAACCAATCTCTAAACTGCTACCTTCCTCCTTCACTAGAAAGAGCTGTTGTTGTGTTATTTAGTGTCAAACAACTTTTACAAACCTTTCCAATCTGGTTTTCATTCACTCCACAGTACTGAGACTGCATTCCTTAGGATTCTTAATGACCTTCTCCTGGCAGCTGATTCTGGGGCTGTCAGTATTCTTGTTTTGGATATTAGCTCTACTTTTGACAACATTTCTCACAATAAACTTATTGGATATCTTTCATATAATGGCATTATTGGTACTGTACTCTCATGATTTACAGTTTGTGCCCAACAGGTTAGCTCATCTTGTGTCTTGTGTGTATCCCAATGCTGTGACAGAGACACTGTGCTGTAAAAATGGGGCCGTCCATCAGATGAGACGTAAAACCGAAGTCCTGACTCTGAGGTCATAACAGATCACTGGGCATCATTCGAAAAAGTAGGGATGGTACCCTGATATCCTGGCTAAAATCACCCACTGTGCCATTATCAGATCTGGCCTCCTAATCATCTCCAATATCTAACTGATGAATTCTCTCCTGCCCCTTCACCACCTTAGCTACTGTGTGGTGAGCGTACTGGCGCAGAATGGTTGTCGATGCATCATCCAGGTGGGTGTTACACAGTGGTAGTGGCTGAAGTGACTTTACATTGCTTAGGCAAAGCGCGTTAGGTGTCTTAAAAGAGCTATATAAATGCAACATTCATTCATTCATTCAACAGTTTATAGGCCACAGCTGTAATTCTCTATTTCAGTGATTCTTAACCTGTAGGTTGCGACCCAAATTTGGGTCGTGGCAAGTTCTGAAAGGGTCATGGGGCACAGCTGGAAATTAACCTATAGGCCTATAAACGGGTCTTGGGTCTGCAATTTCTAAGCGCAAAACTAGTGAACACTCAACCAATCTGAGAAGCCAAACCACAGATGGTTAATTTAAAAGTTCACTGGCACATCCAGTCAGATTTGTGCCATGGACATTGATTGGCATAAATTGCACAGTGCACTGTATGCTTGATCATAGCATTAATTTAAATCTGTACTTGATATAGAGTCGTGACTGCATGGTAAAAACTCTGTTGCAGTGCAAAAAGGTTAAGTACCACCAATATTTGCTGATCTTCTGGCTAAGATGCAGGAATTGCTATAAAAACACATTATTATAATATTATTTTAAAGGTTTTCATGGGCCACAAGTCATGATGAATCTTCTCCAAATTCTACAGAGATGATCTTCAGACAAAGCCTCACAGATGTTGCTGTGGTGTATGGGACACCAAAGTCGATAAAAGAACCTGTGTCAGATGGGGAAGTATTTCCCATAAATTTATGTGGAGTTCATTATTGGTGTTTGTAGAAAGGCACAAGCTTTGTGCAGGTTGCGTAAATGGTGCCGCCTAGTGGGAGGGCAGAGCCCTGGGTGCAGTAGCAAGATGAGGTGTGCACAGCTGAAGATGACAACTGAATAAATCTCCCATTCTAAGTCCAGTTCCAAAAACCCTCTGTCGCGGTGTATTCTTTCTGAACTTGATTAAAACTCCTAGTAAACTGTTCCTGTATTTTATAAAAACAACAGACATTTTTTTTTTCAAAACCATTCATCTGTTACACCCTATCACATTTTTCAGTGAAGATGCTAAACATAAAGGGGGTTCAGATCTTTGCCAATATTTGGTCAATTGACATGAAATTTGCTTTGAATGCAAATAGCCATACCCTAGACAAAATGGCGTGAAGTTGTTTCCATGGCATCTGTGCCCTGTTAGTGTGTTTGGCCCCATTATTGATGCTTGTAACTATATTTTCTGTCTGTATCGGTGCCCATCTGGACCTGTCTCAAGTGTTTTGTCCCCATTAAACCAGCATGTGCTGCTGGTCATCTTGTTCCCTCTGTCATGCCTAAGTCCCTAATGTGTGCCATTGCTCATTGGGCTGCCATGTAGCTCGATTGATAGAGTGAGTGATTTAGGAACTGACACTCAGTTGTGGGTTCAAGGTTGGCCTTTAACCTGCTTTAGCTTTTGTATATTTTTGGGCTTTTATTTTAACCTCAGCTTTTGGTTTTTCCTGGCATCTGTAATGGTTTGTCTTTGTGTGCCTCTTTTGATTTACTCTGCTTGTGCTCTGTTTTATTACATTCTGCTTGTACTTGTGTCAGTCTTTTTCCTAGTGTTTGTTATTTGCCTAATTTTGTGTCTTTTTTTTTAACCTGTCGTATCTGGCAACATAGCAAGCAGAACATGGAGCTGGGTGCCCTGATGCATCCTTAGCCTATCTTAACCAAACTTAAAATCCTACCTCCCTGCTCCATTCTGGGGACACCATACAAAGCGCCCAGCATTTAGTCAATAGGGGGCGCTACGAATACCTTTTTCCAATATCTCCTGAACTGCTTGGCCTATCCAAGTGAAATTTGGCATATGTCTACTATGGCCAAGCCTGAGGTCAGATCCATAGTATGGCAGTCATTAGTCATACAATGGTGGCCATAATTAGCCAATGAAAATCAAACATGCATTTGACAGGCCTAGCAATCACCAATCTCAAATAAATCTGGAAGGTCCATGTGTCTACAGACCATTACCTCACCCTGGTAAGGGCACTCCAGTCTGCCAGATGGGGGCGCTACAGTGACAACTTTTGCATGTCTGCCTGTTTCTCCAGAACTGTCAAGCCTACAGTTGACATTTATTACCAGGCCAATTCAGTATGACATGCCAAATCAAACGACATGTAGAACTTGGTTCTCCATCTTTGCGTTTTTGCATAATTTATATAGGTCTGAAAACAGGACTTTTCGTTAACCTCCTAGGATTTTCTCCCAACCTACATAAGTCTGGTATCATTTAAATCAATTATTTAAAAAATCCTAAATTTTCCGTAAGGTACGGCCCATAGCCACACCCAGACCATACAGGTGCAATCATGACAGC